AGGCAGGCATATCTACACCAAATCATCTTGATGTGCAAATAAAAACTTTGTGTTTTAAGTACCTACCTAGGCAAATAAGTAAGTTAGGTTACAAAGCAACAAAGTACCTAGTATATACTTAACAAATTAGTATATCCAAAAAGTTTGTAACGTTTCAAGAATCGAGCTACCGTTTAGTCTGGGTTACTAGCCACAAAACATAGGCCAGTCTAAACAAATGTCTACAATCTATCCTAAATTCCAGACTAAACATAATCTAACTGACGTATCTACTGTAGTCTTCCCCCAAATGTGAGATAAAAAATGACCTACGAACGTAACCTTTAGACCTCCAGACAAACGAGGTTCACTTAGATATAGACGCAAAAACCAGCGACTGTTGATCTTATTCTACAAATAAGGGGAACGAACTTTGACTCATCTGTTCTGCCTTGATTTGGCGAAATGAATTCTGTGTTCACTAGACTAAGATTTAGTTCTCTGTGTCACTATGGCTAAATAATAAGAAAAGATGTGTGCTATAAAGCAAAATTGTTCCTAGGAAATAGAGCTGTTTTTCAAAAAGGAAAACGTGTAGGTATTAGTGACTCAAGTTTGAATAAAACATAAACAATAACTCCTACGTCACAATAACAGCTCATATACTGTTTTGTATGAGTAAAGCGAACGAAAACCTATGACTCAACGAAGTCTCACATCTGAGAACAAATGAATGCTAAGAAACTGGGACAAGTGCAAAGTTATTTTTGCGCTTGCTTCCGAAAAATTCCGAGTATTTCCGTACATAAATGCCAATCCATGATCGGATCTTCTCGGAAAGATCACTTTGTTCTCGAACTGAAGATCGATATGAGATAAACATGACATTCTTCAGTTTCACATTAAGCCTTTTATTCCCTGAACGGATAAGCAAAGATGGATTCTAAATGTCAACCCTCTCAATCAATTTGGTTCCTAAAAGAAAAATCCAATTTTATTTAGTGCGTCCCAAACTTAGGTTGGTAATTGCGCATACGACTTATCATCGAGACAGTGAAGTCACTATATGTAACTAATAATACGAAGTAGTAACCTTTTTTGAGAGAAGAAAATTATCCAATGACTTTTCCCGCCTCGAGTGAAACGAGTGTCAGACTCTTACTAACTAAAAACCACCCCGTTTCTACTCTCACTTCGAGCCGGAGCCCCGGTAACGTGCTAGGTCATTCGCAGCTCCGAGGTATTACAAAGTAACACGGGGTAATGAACAATCATGTTGAAATTAATAGATAATGATAACAACATTAACATTGCCAACCTAAGTAATACGTAATATACAAATGTAAGTCGCAGTGTGTAGTGACGTATCAATCATTTGTTGTCGTTTTCTAGATTAGAATCTCTGTTGGGCGCCAAAAAATGTATCGACATATTGATGCAGTGCGTGATGACGATTGAACATAAACAAAATAATTGCCAGCCACGCTTAATTTTATTATGCAATAAAATGAACTCTGGATTACTTTTAGAATCCTAGAGAGAGAAGCAAATAACTCAATATCGTAAAAAAATCGCTTCAAACAAATAGTACTAGTAGGTACATTATCCACCGATAGTAGTAAGTTTGATTTGGATCTGATTATCAATTGAGGAAAAATAGTATACTTTCTTATCTATCTAAGAAACAAAGAAACGTTAGGCCTTTTAAGAAGCCTTGAGTCACGTCAACATGATCGCATAGTTCTTATACAGGGTACCTTATCACAAGATCTCGTAAAGTGACAAAGATCGATGTGACGCTTCCTCATGCGATCCTCATAACTGTCATCTTGTTTAAATTGTTTGCACACAATGCGTAACACCCAAAATTAGACAATGACTGTTTTATCAAACTGATCCCACTATATAGTACTTTCATTAGTATTTCTTGGATGTATACAGCAAATAAAAGCAACTAGTACGATAGATAAATTTAAAAAAAATCATCTTCTACGTACTTCTAAATGTATTCTAATAGGTTTTCTTGGAAAGTTAAAAGCGTCGATACTCTCAATATGAAACATGTTTTAAGAATTGCTTTGATGCATCGATCGTAAACCATGATCTTGAAACAGACGCCAAATGTTATATATTTGTATACCAGCATCATGTACACACGCCTTGTCTTTATTAGATCACGGTCTCATCATTGAACTTGGAACCGTTTTGGACTGTTCCTAACAATAGTTTTCCTTGTTCATTCCAGAGCGTGAAAAACCATCATCAGTGTTGTTAGAGAAGCAGCGTGAGGCGCTCGTCAAGAGCGTCGAGGTCGCTACGGATCGAGGCCGGGATGAAGGCCTGTATGAGCGGGGGGCGGAGGCGGAGCCGGCTGGACCCGGCGTGGGTCGGTGGGGCGCCGAATGGCCGAGTTGACTCAGCTCGGAAGCGGCGCCCGAGCCCGACGCCGCAGTGTCGGCGGCTGGGCCGGAGTGCCGGACGGAAGACGTGACCAGGCCGGGCCCCGACCTGACCAGACCGCCGCTGCCGCGAGCGCGCTGGGGCCCGGCTAGGCGCCCGCTCGAGTTGTCCTTGGCAAGACACGAGGAGCTGGCAACGCGCGCTGAGGCCGCACTGCGCCATCTGCTCGTCACCGACAACTATGACTCCGTCAATAACTTCATCTCACTGCATGAGGCTTTCGAGCGCAGTGGTGATGCGCTCTACCAGGTGTACCAGCAGTACACGCCACCAATCCGTGCTCGCAAGCACACCTGTGTAGGGCTAGGCTTCGAACTCATGCGACGCTGGCGGAAGTTGGAGCGGGACTTCAGTGGCGCTACCCGCGCCACAGCTCTGTTGTCGTGCGAGGAAGCCGTGGTAGACGTGCGCGAGTACGTGACGTGCGGCGACGGGCCCGCAGCTGTGCTGGCTGCTGAGAAGGAACACGTCATGGTGGGCATACAGATCCGCGTAGACGGCCGACTCGGCGTCATGCTCGCTGATCCCGGCTACCACGTGCCCAGAATCGTCACCGTCATGCAGGATCGAAACTACCCACACACTGGTAAGTTTTAAAGCTAAAATAAGTTCTCTATAATTCATTAACAAAGTAGTCTACATTGCCATTACAAATTATAAGGAAACCCTTCTCCCTCGAGCTCCTGCTTATGTAGTCGCCCCTCGTACAGGTTGGTTCGTGCAGTCGGACGAGCAACACTGCCGCAAGGAGTACAACTACACGTTCAGCATGCTGAACCCAGGCTACATCGAGTGGCACGAGCGGGAGACGCGCGGGGAGACTGTGAAGTCTCAGACCTCGCTCGTGTACGCCGGCAGACCGTACCTGGACGGTATCAACGTCACCGAGAGAAGAAACCTCGTCTACAACTTTAGGTGAAGAATTAATACAGTTTTCTACATTTTTGGCAACATTCCGCATTCCTACCTTAGTTTCATCAGCTGAGATTCTTTGTTGAAACAATTTGACGTTAAGTAAATAGGGTGTTCGGCCTCAATCAGCAGACCTCAATCATTTCCTAATACACCGAAGATTTCTAGGCCAGACATCAGACCATATTACCAAGTCTAGATATAATTAGTTTGCCTTATCAGTCACATCAATCATCATAGTTTAAGATCATTGACTTATCTGGCGCACGTCAGTCTCGTAACGACTCGTGCAGACAATAGTTTTTATTGGCTGCAATCCAATTATGCAATAGCTAAAGTGGGACTATTAAATGCAAGATCTTTGTTCTTGGGTTCGTTTTTCGGGGATACAAAACTATGAACACACACAAGTAATAAACAACAATAGCCTTTTGATGTGATTTGATCAGGAAATGTCTTTTGTCTCTTTTGTCAGAAGAAATTAATTAAAGGATCACAACCAGAATTAACTTATCAATTTCCTTGTAGGAGCCTTCTCTCCCGCGACCAGAAGGGCCATTTGATAGCCGGCCTCTACTTCCCAGTGGGTGCGACCATCAAAGACGCGCAGTTCACCCTCTTTCTTAACAACGGGCCTCAAAAGCGGAAGACTAAGTACAAATTCAGCACTTTTGCTGACCCTGATGACGTAAGTATCATTTTCTACTTTTAGATATACGGTTTAGTAGGACAACTCAATGCACTGTTAAAGACATACCCTAAGCTGCATGACTATATAGACTCTAAACCTCTGACAAAGGATAGTCGATATCTATAAAAACCGTAGCATTTCACTCCAATTCAACTTCATCCTGAGAAAAGACATTGCCTTACATGCCTTAAGCAGTCGTGTCATCATAAAACTGCAACCAAATCTATTGAAATCGGATCTGAATCAAGCGCTGACCGACCATGAAGGTTACATGGCTATTCTAAATAATGCCTTCCGGTCGCCAGTTTTGCGTTACTCGAGCTGGGAACCGCCCGAGGGACATTGTAGACTGTAGAAACAATGGGAACTGCCCGACTTGTACTGTAAACATCGTACACATTATATTTAACCTTTGCCTACATTGAGAAGTAATACGAGTGGTGTATTTGCGTAAAATAATGAGAATGTTATGAAAATTGGCCGTTTACATAACATAACATAACATAACATCACGCCTTTTATCCCCGAAGGGGTAGGCAGAGGTGCACATTACGGTACTTTATGCCACTCGCGGAGAACCTAACGGGTAACCGGGGCTCCGGCTCGACGTGCAGGAGAAGGAACGGGGTGGTTTTTAGTTAGTAAGAGTCTGACACTCCCTCCCGCCTCACCCAGGCGGGAGCAGTCATTCGATGATTTTCCCCCCTTAAAAAAAAATGACACTCGGCCAACGAGGCAGTCAAAGGCCATTTACAACATTGTTTTTTTTAGTTAAAGGCCATATGTTGACTTTCTTGTGGCAATATAATTGTTGCCTCTTAGTTTTCTACTGGAAAATTTGGTATATAGTGGGTACAGAATTAATTAATTAACTAGGGATTTTAAGTATATCTACATATGTATAAACCAGTCATAAATTGTCCTTTAAACTGTCAAAAACCAAGCGGTCACCGGTGACCGCAACCTATTGTTCTATAATTGTGTCTACAAAACCGGTACTCGACGAGTTAAATAATAATCTCAAACGTTGACATTTACTATAATTTCATAAGTTCCCGTATGCCTTTACTTCTAGTCTTCAAGTAGGTAGGTAGGTAGGTCTTCAAGTCTAATTATTGATGTTTTCCGTGAGCAACTGTGCCTTTCCCGCAATGAGCCGTATAATCATGCGTCATTACGTGGACTTATGAAGTCAGACGTATAATTTCTTGTACTCTCTATATCTATAATTTGTCTCCAATTTGAAATGACGGAGTTTCGTAATAATAGGTCTACAATTCTACATGTATAAATGGCCCTATTCTGTTATGAACTATGATAAGAAATGGATCCGCATTTGCAATATGTATTACCTACTTCTCCCAAAAGCTCACTTCTGGAAAGATTTACTAACAAATCAACGTCAATATACACTAACATCTATTTCAAGCTTTGTTAACAGCCTCCTTTCTTTGCCCACAGATTCCAGAAGAGATATTGGAAGAGATCCAGCTCTGTAATAACAAGATGAATTACAAGGAAGGTGAGCTATTGTCCATCGTTTGCAAGCTCTCTCGAGTAATGGCTGACCAAGCCTTCATCGACCAGATGCTGGAGATCAACGAGGACATCTGTCGCATGTGTCTCTGACAACAAAATGGCGTCCAGAACAAAATGGCGGACGCCAGTAATGGAGGCAACAAAGCCTAATAATGCAATGTATTGTTTAAAACGATCTTAACTTCGTATAATTTTATCCAATTAATTTGTATTGTATTTACATATTTTTAATTTTTTGGATTATCTTTTATTGGGTTATAGGTGATTTTTTACTTTTACGTAGTTATTAAGATTACGTTAAAATTAATAATGTTTAATTTGGAATTGGGTTATTGGATTTTTTATTGTTTAATTACTTAACTTCTTAATAAACTTTTATTATTTGAAATGCGAATGACTCGTTTCTTTTTTTCATAACCTTGAAACCCTTAGATTTTAGTCTAATTTCGTGGTGCTTGGCGACTGGGCTTCACCCAGTTGTACAATCTCTTCTGTGCCTTTAGGCTTAATTCACTCTGTCTGCAGTAATTCACCGAGGAAAGTGGAAACTATCGTTCTTTTTCTTCTCTTATATCTTCTAATTCACTTCGTTGCGGGAACCAAGACAGTTATTCATGTCCCTGGGACGCGCCGGACTTCAGTGTTCTGGTGTTTTCATGGTTGTAACCACTGTAGATCCTGGCTTACAGGAGTTGCAGCGGTTTTGGGAGGAAGTGGCGGCATTGTCCCATAAAAAAACCTTGTAACCCATTTTGATACAGCTTTTTACAAAGCAGTGAAGTGAGTGGAGTGAAGGACAATGCAATATAAAATAAAAACTCTTCAATTAAGAGAAGTCACTACTTTATTATCTCACACAAGTAATAAATTGGTTCTTTACAACTAACATCAATAATATGTCTAAAAATATTTCATTAGGTCTAAATTAACAAGGTGACAAAATAAAACAAAATAAATAAATAAAATAATTAATTTATTTGAAGGAATGAGCGATTTGTAGCGGTCCAGCACCGTTGTAATTTTGTGCAGAACAGTTATTACGACAATCAAACATAATGACGGGATGGAGGTAAACGTAATACCAGGGGCCATTCAGACCTGTCATTAACACTACACGGGAACCTTCAAACTGGAAACTAACCCTTCTACCTTTCGCACGACGAGGTAATACAAAATATACTCTACAGTATCACAGTCAAAGTTTACTCTGTATTAACAAAACGCCAGTTGTGCCATTTTAGCTGCAAACAGTAACTCGTCTCAATGGCCGATGGACCTTAGTCTAAAAAATCCTTATTTATTACTTTGTGAACTAATATCCGCCTAGTGGGTGTACAGACAGACATCTAACATCTATGAAAACTTGATACTGTATTGAAATTACTATTTTATTGAAATCGACGCATAAATTAATGAATGACGAACAAAAATTTATCAGTCGACCTCTAAAAGGGTGAACTTGGAACAATTTATCGAAAAAACTTATAAGTACGACACTTAGATGACTAATGAGTTTTTATAACTAATCATAATCTTATTTAAGATATTAAAACTTAAGATTTCGAATGCTATTCTAAACTCAAGATTCGGATATGTAAAATTTGAAATGAATAACTACTTTTCCACACGAAATTTCGAAAAACCAACATTTATTTCAGATATACATAACATGTTTAAGAATTTTGTTTTGTTCTACGAAATATTGGTTGAAGATTTTACAGGTATATAATAACATTACATCTACCTAATATTAAATAAATCTGTGGCTTGGCGTAGTTGATAAATATCAGATGTTCCATATTGCAACAGATAATAAAAATTGGGGCAAATGTGCCGCCGCCACAGATTATAGAACACGGTAATTTTATCAGACTATCTTCTAACACAGAGTACGATTGTCAGGTGGGAGAATACAGGTAGATAAGTTATGGAATCTTGGACAAGCACACCTTACCACGACGCTTCATTTATTTAACTATTTATCCAGAGAATTTTGAACAGCAATTGATTTTTAATAAGAAATATGGAAAAAATAGCAGCCATCTTTAAAAATTTGCCGCCATTAATAGAAGTCCGCCATTTTGTCGTGGTCTCGCGTGCAGAGTCCAATCAAAGGAGGTTTTGCGCCGAGTGAGGCAATGACATTTAAATATTATTATGTCCTATTTTATTACATTTCACTAAGTCTACGTCCGAAGTCATTAGACAATATTGATCACGATACAAGGCGATATCACGAGTCGTTTTATACCGGCAGCGGCCTGCCAACAAATAAAATGAACAGAGAAAGAGATCAAGAGAGTCTAACTAAAAAGAGGATTTTATATTTTCAAAGGCTTCGAAAACGCCGCGTAAATAAATTTTCAAACATATTTTGGCAATAAACACGCGGTACACCTGTCCACTTTTATTTGTTCGCATGCTACAGGTCACACTGTTACAAATAATGAAAACTGAATACAATTTGTAATCGAAGAAAACCGGAAAGTCCAAAAATAAAATTCTAGAATTTTCTAATTTATTTCATTATCAAAAATCAAACTTAAAATCATTAAAACTTAATAAAAATACGTTACTTAATGAACGAACTTGTAAAATGTAAAATGTCCAAAGGACACTCGTAATCAGACAATCAAAAACACAAGTCAATTAGGCAAAATTCATTCTCGCTAGGTGGCGCCACTGAGTAAAAGTCCTGGTAGTCTCTCCTAGATGTTAATTTACCCTTAGGTTTACAATACATTTGTAACAGAATCGATTGCTTAAAAGACTAGCGCCTCTAAGACCAAATACAAACCAAAAAAAGGATACTCCTTTTTGTTTCTCAAATCCTAGATTGTCTCAAACATGCACATGGCAATTGATATTAAAACACGTTAAAGTAGGAGAAATCCAATAGAATGAGAACAGCGCTGGCTGTTGGATAATTAAATTAAAATACATAAATAGTAGTGATGTGTAACCGTAGGCTATGCCGCTGTCGCGCCGCGGGTGGTCGCGGGTCCTTCGCGGGTCTTTTGCGGGGCTTGCGGGGCTTGTGGGTCTAGTTGTCGGCGGGCGCGGGTCGGTGTGCGTGCGCCTTGTGTTGCTTGTGTCGGTGATGGCGCTGCGGGTGGGACCCGCCGTATACCTCGCGCACGCTTGGGCTGTAAACGTAATATTTCTCTTTAGTATGACATTCATCTTTTGGGGATGATAAGTGTTGTATTAAGTATGTCGTTTATTTTATCACTTTTGTTGCTTTTTGTTGATTTTGTGACTACAGAATTTGAAAGTCTTCTTGTATAAAATTAAATATTAGTAAATTTATTGAGAGTTAACCTCTTATATGTATATGAGAGAGGTGTGTCTCGGGTAAATGCGCCTTGCGGCATACCACAGGTTTATCAGTATTAAAAAATGCATGCAATACTTTCTAAGAAGATAAACAGAACACCTTGACATGTTTCACACAATCTAGTACAAAATCAACAGACAACAAACATGATTTCTTTTTCGAAAATATCATTTTTAGTTCTTCCTATTATGATGGTTAGATAAGTATTTACAATGATGATAAAAAAATATCCCTGCAATTAATTAACTTCCATTACTATGATGCGCATGACTTCCTCGTTGGCCGAGCGGTCGCAAGTGGGACTGCCGGGCAAGGGGTTCGATTCCCGGGTCGGGCAAAGTATTACTGCGTTTTAAAAAAAATCTCAGTAGTAGCACGGAGTCAGGAATTGTGCCCGGTATATGGCAATAGGCTAACCTCCTATTACATGGGACTCTAATTAACATAAATAGTGAAAAGTGGGTGTTACATTGTACAGTGGCATAATGTGCACCTCTGCCTACCCATTCGGGGATAAAAAGGGTGATGTTATGTTATGTTACTATGATGCGCAATGTGCAAAATTTGCGCAAAGTTTTAGTACTTTCATTCATTCTGCACAACATCAATGACTAATTATAAAATTAATATTTACTGTTAAGTTTATTAGCTATTTTTTTAAACTAGACACCTAATATATATTTACAAATAGTAATATTTGGAGTCCACACAAACCATAAGCGCAACTATTGCTTATTGGAGTCCAAACTTTTGCTCCATGCGCAAGAAAAGTCATAAACAAGAAAATATACTCTTGGCATCACAAAATATTCACAAGAATTATTTTTATTGGAACACCAAAAACCTTTTTAAATATTTCTTCTTTAATTATGTAACTAAGAAAACGGCTTTCATGCAAGTACATCATATTTAGATAAAGAAAAATAAAGAACATGCTGAATTAACATAATTGTAGCAAATAATAATAAAAAATGTACCAATAGCATTATACACATAGCAATAATAATAATAATAGCCACAAATATATATTATTAATAAGTTTTACGGGTTTAATAGTAGTAACGCCTCCTCCACAATCTGGAACTGATTGGAAAAATTTGGAATAAGATTTTTGAAATCGCTATTTTGAATTAGACTTTAAACTTTATTTCAAAAATTGTTTCCTGTTGCACCCATTCATTGAATGATTTTCATAATAACATCGTTATTACAGAAATATTAAGCAATCAATTAATTATTAAATACATCTGAATACGTAAAATAAGATTCTGAATCATAGTAATCGACTCTTTATAAGCTATTTTTGCTTGAAATCAACATTTTTGTAAAAGGAAATTCTTGATTATTCTAATACTTATAATACTATTTCATTGTATAATCCTCATTTCTGCAATCCTTTAGGAATGAATTACTTTGAAAATTATTAACTAATATTAATAGTTAGCTTACAAGAGAACTAAAAGAATCAAGTACCCAAGAATTAGAAGTTATGTAGACCTTATCTATTCTCTTATAGACAGGTCAAGATTATTGTATTTACTAATTACTGATTAAAGTGATTATGTACCGAGGTTAGTGTACAGACGACCAGCACGTCAAACTATCCCAAACTGTCGACATTCTTTGATAAACTCAACCTTATTATATGACAGAGTTGAATATCTATTTTTATTGGCTATCTGGCAAACGAAAATTTGTTCTATACAATATCACGTTATACTTTTATGACGGTGAAAAAATTACGATAGCCCATAATAATTTCAACATTGACCACACAAGGACTTGTGCTACTCGATACTGCTCGTGTATACGAGTCCATACGGCTAAGTACGAGTTAGATTTACGTTCAAAGTAATCGAAATGAGACCGAGTTCAGCGCTCTTAGCCTAAGATCTTTAAACGGACTTCAACGAGATGCTTATTTGATGATACCTATTTTATATTCAACTAGCCTGCGACTTCCTACGCGCAATGCCATTTTCCTCGTTTCCGTTTGTGATTTTCGGTAAAAAGTAAAAAATATCCTATGTCCGTCTCCTGATTTTAAGCTACCTCCCCAGCAATTTTCATCCAAATCGGTTTAGCCGTTCTTGAGTTATACATTAGATTTAATGTTTCATAAAATAAGCATCTCGGTGAAGGTCGTTTAAACTGTCAAACACCAAGCGGTCACCGGTGACCGCAACCTATTATTCTATAATTGTGTCTATAATGACGGTACTCGACGAGTTAAAGCGGGATCTTAGGCTATCTGATTGGCCGGACTGCCTCGTTGGCCGAGTGGTCGCAAGTGCGACTGCCGGGCAAAGGGTTTCGGGTTCGATTTCCAGGTCGGGCAAAATTATACTGGGTTTTTTCAAAAAATCTCAGTAGTAAGCACGGAGTCTGAAAATGTGCCCGGTATATGGCAATAGGCTCACCCCCTATTACATGGGACTCATAACATAAAATAGTGAAAAGAGGGTGTTACATTGTACAGTGGCATTAAGTGCTGTAATGTGCCCCTCTGCCTACCCCTTCGGGGATAAAAGGCGTGAAGTTTATGTATGATTGGCCGGCTCCAGTAAACCAACCAATCAGAGCGTCGAACGCCGTCCCGTTTCGATTACTTTAAACGTAAAACAAAGTGGTTCTAAGCCCTCCGGTGTGAATTGAAATTAGTTGAGCGTCTCTCGAATAGTAGTAAAAAGAAACCGAGCAACAATATCACATTTTGCAGTGACGTGACGTCAAATTTTAAGAATTTAGGCAGTCTGGTATAGTTTGACTCGCTGTTATCCGTACTACAGACTTGAGCCATATATGAGTGGTACACCAAAAGGTTGATTGTGTTTACCTGGAGGTCAAGGTGAGAGGGCTGGCAGCGGTCCGTATGGGACGGCGGGAGGCAGGCCTCACTGAGCTGGGGCGGCGCCCTGACACCTCACTACTTGTACTGCAACGTATACCATGCTAGCTAACTACTGAGCAAGACGGTTCTACTGACATTGGAAATATTTACATCTTTTTTTAGAATATGGTCTTCACACGAGCAGAGCACTTGGACCACAAAATAAGGTTTTAATCTCAAGTTGTATTGAGATTTAACCTTTTTGATTGTTTAAGAGTTTTATTTTCATGTTTTGCCACATTTATACTTTGTACCAATATTTGCACAGAAAATAAAGAGAAGGTAAAGGTATATCATTAGGTTTGTAGTTTCTTTTTGGACTACAAAAGTATATTTCATTCTTTTTTATTTCAAAAGTAAATTAATAAACAATTTTGTATTTGTGCATTAGTTCACATACAACATTTGACATTATTAGCACTATTACACTGCAAATACGATTGTATTTCCTTTAATTACAGTGTCAAAACGTTGTTCTCATAAAAAAGTACTAGTAAAAAGAACCGGATTTCTTTAAACAAGTCTAGAGCATTTTATGAGCCCATATCAATGGCAAAACGTGTGTCGTGTCGTCAGTACAACCGCCTATAGTACAAATAATAATAATAAATGAAAAATATATATAAAATACAGAAAAAGAAGCCACATTAACCAAAGAAAGGCACACATACATGCTAGCAACTACTCGGGTATAGAAAATACATAAAACTATTCAACATAATGTGCTAAGAGAAAACCGCTCTTATTGACATCCTCAGCTACATTAAACATTTAACAAGTACTACAAATAAAACTAAGAGTGTTATTATAGAGTCTATTTTTTATTGTAGTGGTTGTATCTAGAATTGAACATCCCTTGGTAAGCTGGAAACTTTTTCAAAATCCTGCTTTTACTGATTTACGATAAGAATCATGTTGTATTAGGATATCTATCCGATAGTATAATGGTCATCAAAGGAGTTTATACTATTTACGCCATTTTTTGAACAACGAAAGCAGATATAACATTAATCGATGTACTAAACCTTTTAAAACATTGCATTAAGTGATCTTTCAAACATTTTAAAAACAGTTTGACTCTATATTAGGCGAAAGCAATAACCAGGTTGCTGACATATACATGAACATTTTGCTATATCCTGGCTAGCCTTGATCACTAAACTAATATACAATGTCTTTCAAACCTTCATCACATGCAAAGTTGAGGTGGTAATGACTAACCTCATGTGTACCCAACCTACCAATACTGACTCCTACACAAAACACAATGAGTCCTCTTAGTTCTACAATCTTATCCTAATACAAATAGGGTATATTTTATTTATGCAACTCACTTGGGTACTTGTACAACAGGCGGCGGAGCTGGCAACGCGAGGCGTTGTGGCTCGCGGCGCGCGGCCTGTATAGCGGGGCGACCGCGGCCTGTAGAACTACCGGCTTTGTATTGGAACTCCCTGAAACGATAGAATAAAGAAATTAGAACATCTATACTGAACATCTTACCTTAGATACATCTTTGTCATTAAAACCCAAAGTAAACTAAACCTTACACTAAAGCCATAGAATATAAAATCACCTGTCAAACTCCTCAGCCTCTTCCTCATCCAAATTGATGAACTCCTGCCGTTCTTCGGCGTCGCCTGTGTAATAGTTTTGCTCCCTCTCTATCAGGTGAGCCCTTTCGCCAATGTGGTGACCTGAAATTTTAAATGAAAGCATTTTATATGGTGAGACACAACATTTTTTTTTTTTTATTATTATTATTAAATACTACAATCTGTCTCCTTCGTGGGACATTCAGAAGTATATCGGTTTGTGCTAACGCAGACTCGCTCAGTATGTGGCCTGTGCCACATCTTCATTATTTAAACAGTAGTTATAATTACTGTGGTTGGATTAGGTCTTGAGGTATTTTGCGCTTTAATCGTCGCGCTTTGTTGTGATTGTCCATTAGTGACCGAGCCAGAGTATTTGGGTGTTGTTGGATTCTTTCATTATAGCACTTGGTATGGTGTATGATTTCCTGCTTTACAGTGGGCATTCGTAGGTCATGGTGAAGCAGCTCATTGGGTACAAACCAGGGTGCGTTGGTTATCATACGCAGAGCTTTATTTTGAAACCTCTGTATAATTTCTATATTTGAGTGAGATGCGGTGCCCCACAATTGGATCCCGTATGTCCAGATGGGCTTTAATATTGCCTTGTACAACAGTATTTTGTTGTCGAGAGACAGCTGAGACTTTTGCCCTATGAGCCAGTAAAGTTTTCGTGTTTGGATACCAAGTTGCTTCCTCTTAGTGAAAATATGTTTTTGCCAGGTAAGTCTTTTGTCCAGATGCAATCCAAGATATCTCACATGATCTGCTTGTGGGATTTCAATGTTGTTTAGTGTGACTGGGGGGCAGGATCCTCTTCTCAAAGTAAAAGTAATATTGACTGATTTGGTTTCGTTGGCTTTTAACCGCCATTTTTTAAGCCAGTCAGATATGACATTCAGTCCTTCTTGGAGTATTTGTGAGGCAATTTTTGGATCACTATGAGCAGCTAGTACGGCGGTGTCGTCGGCAAAGGTTCCAGTAGTTAGCAATTCGGATGTCGGCAAGTCTGCAGTGAACAGTAAGTAGAGTATGGGACCCAGTACGCTACCCTGTGGTACTCCTGCCTGTATGGGCCAGAGACCAGACAATGCTTCCCCGCTTTGTACTAAGAAGTGGCGCTTTTGTAGAAATGATTTTAGTATACATTACAGTAGAGACACAACATACATTAATTAAATGTGTGTTGTTTTAAATCTAGCAACATTTCTATGCAACGAATTGCATTACCTAGAATTTCAGCTTCATTCTTATTCGTAGGGAATGGAACGCAACTTAAGGGAACACCAAAAGTGGAAATTAAGTAAATAAATTACCCAGAAGCACCACAAAACCTATACAAACCACCCACTTAGGGAAAACCGTCCACAAAAACATTATACCAAGGAAAATTACAAGAAAACACCATAAAAAATACCGACAATTTTCGCCAAATTAACCGACCGAATCAAGAACCCTTTTCAGTGTTAGGTTTTATTGTTTATATTGTTAAATAATTGTATATATTTTACCAGTTAAAATTTAAGGGGCTTTTCCCCCTGTTTTATACAACGTGCAAGTTTTCATAACAAAGAAGTCACGTGATCAAGGTTGCTGGGCACGTGACATCGGGTCGAGATGACTTATTAATTGGTCAGCGTGACAACGTTAATAAACCGTCGATAGCGTGGTCGTGACCAAATTGTTGGTGCGTTGTGATGGTGGCCGAGGTTTGTGCATCAGGTATGAACTTTAATAAGCTGAGGTGCTGAATGGTAATTGTTACTGACCATCATTCATTTAGTAAGTGTTGGTCCCAACACTATATCTTATACTATTATATAAAGCGGAAGAGTTTGTTTTTTGTTTGTTTGAACGCGCTAATCTCCGTAACTAAAAGTCTGATTTGAATAATTCGTTTTGTGTTGGATAGCGCATTTATCGAGGATGGCTATAGGCTATCAAACAAACATCACGCTACGACCAAAAGGAGCTGAGCAGAGCGTGTGAAACCGCGTGGAAGTAGCTAGTTGCATTATATAAGGTCAACAATTGTCACAGAGGACACTGCACTGTTTATCTGTCATACTTTGGTGTGTGGACTGGACGTGTGCTCTATCCGTCTAATTTAAATGTAAAATAATAAATGCTAGTGTAATCAATGGAAGTCGTTTAATCCGTAATTCACCATCATAACAGAAATGTTGTGTACTAACTGCTGACAATATATCATGTATTTACTACCGTACTTCTGCGCGGTTACATCAACTGCTATACTCCGATTGTAGCGATCACGCTAGGAAAACCTATAGGCTATAAAATATTCCTCGATAAATGCACTATCAAACACAAAAATAATTATTCAAATACACACAGTCGTTCCGAAGATCAGCGCGTTCAAACAATCAAATTATCATTAACTTTATTTTAAACAAAATGTATATATACAAAAAGTATGTATATAAGATAAAAAAAACAAACGTTACGTTGCAAGAAGTGATGAAAAATTGCCGCCTTGCAATGGCATTCACTATTACACTAACATCGGAATATTCAACACATTTTTGTTCGCTGATCCAACGTAGTATCTTCCTATAATATAATTAGTTGCATAAATACCTATTTATATAATTTAAATACTGAACTGTCTATCTACAGGTTAACATACTCGAATCAGTCAAACTTTTCATTGTATTTTCCATTTTACATCAAAACCGTAAGGTTTAAAATTCAATGAGATCGACTTAACTAAGAGTATAAAAACTGAAAAAAAATGAGAAATGTTCTCTTGAAACTGAACAGAGTAATTTATTTACATAAGCTCCAGTCTGAGAGTTATTGTATGGAGTGTTGTGTTATTCACACAATATAATAATATGCTTGCGTTAGACGATAGCAATCTAGGATGTCTTCTGTAGATAATATATTAACATAACCCACACACAGTTGTTGCCAATTTTCTTCAAAAGATTATGAAAATGTCATTTAACATCTACATATTGGTATGACGTGCATTAGAAGTCACATTACCACAATACATTTTCTATGAATTGAATAATATTAAATACTTGATAGACCACAAAATATTAGCATTAAGTGCAATCTAATAAAGGGTAAACCAATTACAGAAAGTGGTACTGGCTAGAAATTATTATTTGAAAAACCCACTACCAATATTTTCCCAACACTCCTATAGGATAAAAACACACAACTTCGAGTTATTAAGCAGACAATTCCAGCTTTCTATACTGACAATTCCTTAAGCAGAAGTGTGAAATAAACATAAATAATTGCTCGTGAGTATAACCCATGTGATGAAGTCAGAATGGCATTATTATTATTAACTCTTCTCTTCCCGCCGGTATCGTAAGAGACAGCTCTTATAGATGCTGGGCAGCAGCGCCCTTTAATCTCCCAAACCGCATATAAACTGCTTTTTTTGCGGATTAGGAAACAAACGACCAGACGGATCATCTGATGGTAAGCGATCAGCGCCGCCCATGAACACCCGAAACACCAAAAGAGTCACAGGTGCGTTGCCAGCATTTTAAAAAGGTCTCCAATCCGCCATGAAGGAGGTCTATAGTTCAATAGAAGACTATCACAGGTTGCTGATGTGATCATGAATATGAACTGCTATGCTCTTAAGGAAATATTTCCCTAAAACTATTCTCATCTCACTATCTATAAATTCATATTAGTTAGGCTCTCTAGACAGAGATTCCTCAGACACAAATCCGTATAAAAACTCCACCCACACATACACAAATAAACAAGATACTGAATAAGAGTAGAAAAAACCAAGTAATTGCGTCACCCTCGTTTATTAATAGATAGAGGAGAATGACTTCAGTTGCGGAGGTGCCACTGACTGGAAAAATACATGTGGAATACTGGCATGTCTAGCTGAGAAGAAACAATGTTGAAGAAAACTGTATATTTTTTTTTCACTATAGGAATTAGATGCGACTCATAGCTGAGGAAATGAGGGTATTTCATTTAAGATGTTTAACTTCCTTAACCTTCAAGGAAAAACGTGTACCTAGGTATACATGGTGGTCAACCACCACAGATGGGGCCCAACAGGGCTGATGCCGATACGCAGTCGCGGAAGACTTAACAGGTTGCCGGGGCTCCGGCTCGAAGTGCAGGAGTAGGAACGGGGTGGTTTTTAGTCGGTATGAGTCTGACACTCCCTCTCGCCTCACCCAGGCGGGAGAAGTCATTGGATGATTTTCCACAGTCAAAAAAAAAGCTCTGCGTAAAATCTATGACCGCTGGTTTAAGAATTTAACTAATTCAATAATAGAATAAAACCCGTTTTTTTTTAAATTTCCATTTGAACCTGCCAGCCAGTTTTAAATTCATTCCAACTGAACGGACATACAGCAAAAACATGATTAATGTTAAAATATTTGTCACAGCATCATTCATAGAGTAATTATCGGCACCGTATCTAAAGTTAGACTACGCCAGACAGAAATAATTTCAACTAGCTACCTGTGTTTATTTCAGGCAACAGATTATTTATTTTTAGACATTTTAAATGAGAGTATGAAATGAGATTAAGCCATTGTCGCAGCTCATGGACACCCCAACACCATAAGAGTGGCAAGTGAGTTGCTGGCATTTTGGATTCGGGCTACGCTCCGGTAACAATCACATACCGAAACATGACGCAAGCGTTGTTTCACGCCGGTTTTCGGTGAGATACGCTAATTGACGATTTTATACATAACTTCGCCTGGTGATAAGCGATGATGCTACTCGATACGAGTTCTTCGGATCATTGGACAGAGAAACCTTTTAGCCAATACATTGTATTCACAAGTAGCCTTTTGTAGTCTAATTGTAATAAATGCATTGATACTGCGTATTTGTGTGACAAGGCGCATGACTGTAAAGGAAGCAAAAATGTACGCAAGGGTCATAGCGGTAATTAGTTATTTACCAAACTATAATGTAGCTACATTGCGCACAGTGTGGCAATACCTATACAGGGTGGCAATTCGGCAAAATGCCACGGGTCCCATATAAACTCTTCTTTTTTTATATTGGGAAGAGGGGCTTATCCAAATATCCAGTGAATTTGCCTCTGGCCCCGAACGGTTTAGAAACGCCACTTATTGCGCAAATAATGCTGCATTTCTTTCTTTTGCAATGCCACTTCTCGTCGAAGAAACA